GGGGGAGGCCGGGCGAGAGCCGGCAGGAGGGGTGGAAGTAGGGGGTGCTGTGCCCGCTATGCCTCAAGCCAACAAAAGAGCTAAGCGACGATCGACGAATAGCAAGGCAGGGCCGATGGCTGTCATTCTTGCTGAGCGCGGCACGACCGGCACGGCACGGCAAGCCGACAGGCAGCGCGGCGCCCTGTCCGACAGAGCGATCAGTCCAGCCAGCCCAGCAGCCGAGCCGCTGCGTTTGCAGTCGTCCAGCCGCCGTTCGGGTTTCAGATTGCAGGGCTCTCGCCGGTTCCAGTCCCAGTCCCCCGGTCTGCAGCATACGGCAGAGCCTCTCAGTGGTCCCAGGTCAGTGAACATCCTACCACATCCTACCCGCCCGCCCAAGTCAAGTCGGCACAAACAAACGCAAGAGTGCGGGGGCTGCCGCAGAGAGGGCCACTAGTTAAGTTGGGCCACTCCTGTAGCTAGAGCCAAGTGTACAAAGTGAGGCGAGCTCAAATGACCACGTCAACGAGGCGCTCAAATCACTGGCGTATTTTTGAGGGACTCTATGAGTAAGGCCCTTGTTATTGGAGGTTATGGTTGACGTGTTTGTGTGGACTGTTATTCCAGAGATAGAGCTCAGGTATTCAAAGTATTGCAAGTCATGAAATATGCGTATTGTCCCTGGAAACGTCAGTGGTGGAACGTTTTCTGTGAGGGGGGGGGGCGGGGGTATCTCAGAGCTGGCCTTGAAGAAGTAAGACGGGAGAACAAACGGCACACTGCGCATGCCCAGGTGCACCCCGCCGGTGCGAGCGGATTTGCCTACCATCTTCTGCCCCTAACGCGCCATGGCCCCTGTGAGCAGGCAAACCTGCTCGCACCGACGCGTTCACACCGACGCGTTCACACCGATACACCCCTGATGTGATGACATCTTCCCTTTAAAAATGAATTTGTACTTAACTTGCAGGCTTTGAGAGAGGTTGATAATCATGGCTCATATAGTGGAGAGAACTAAGTTAACACCCGGCACCGCCGATTACCAAGCTGTTTCCGACTGTAAGCTATCTTTTCTTTCACTTTTGGCACTATAGAGTGATTCCTGAAGTTTTTGTCTAGTCAAAACTTTTTTTACAGTGTTTTGCTCCCACAATTTTAATCGGGACACCCGCCTTGAAATACAGTCCATCGAGGCAGTTCAAAATTATGGACTCGAACAACAATTCAAGGAGAAGCAGGAGAACTACAAGAAGACTTATGGGCACGTGAGGGTCGTCAAGCTCTGGCACGGCACGAAAACGAATAACGTCGCCCAGATTTTAAAACACAATTTCGAGGTGTCCCGTCACGGTCAGAACGTGGGTAAGCACTCATCTCTTTTACTGTATAGCCCCCCCCCCTCCACCCCCCACATTTTCGCAAGTCCAGCTGTAAATTTGGATTTCCCCGCCCAGGTCACAGGTTTGGCGCTGGTGTCTCCTTCTCGGCCTCTGCCATGTACGCGTCCCACTACTCGGACAAGATCTCGGTCTCGGGCTGCATGCTGCTGTGCGACGTCCTCGTGTCCAACATCCTGCAGGTGGAGGAGAACAGGGGCCAGCACGCCGTCATGCAGCAGCCGCCCTACATGCCCGGCCGCTTCCCGCTGCGCTACGACACCACGGCCAAGAACAAGGACACCCTGGACGTGGTGGTCAAGTTTGAGCCCAACTCTTACCGTCCCACCCACGTAGTCTACTTCAAGCGGACAGCTGCGCCTGTCCGCGAGGACGACTTTGATTATTGCGATTATGATGATGATGATTATCATTACTACGGGGACGGCGATGACGACTACTGTAAGATTTGTGATAATTACGAGTGCGAGTGCGATGACTATGACAATGGTTTCTACTACGGGCCGTACTATTGACGATTCTCAGAGGAGATGTTATTGTTAATTTGACTTCCTTTTCTTTTTGATTTCAGAACAACATAAAATTGTTAGGTTACTGATTAGTGGTCAGTAGTTGCCAAGACAACCAGTCCTTATTCGTACGGTAGTGTGTTAATTTTAATTTGCCTAATGTTTTTCATGATTTACTCAGATTTGCTGGTCGTGTACTTGTTTCTTATCTAACCTGACAGTGTGTTTATGATTTATTGATAATAATAACAACAGATCTGTTTTTCAACCGCGCCTTAGCCTCTGACGCAGGTTTCGGATTATAACATTTTTTGCAGCAGCCCCGGCCTCGCCCGCCGTGCTTATGTCGCCCGCACTTCAACCCCTGCGATTGGGGAGTTTTGAGAGGGTGGGCCACTGGCCCCACACAGCTGCTTGGCGGGTCAGCCTACCCAGCGCTACGCAGGCGCCTTCACTGGCGAGTGTGGTTGTCGAGGGGTACGTGTACACCGACTGGAAGTCAAAAGATTAGACGCGACTGGCGAGGGGTGTGACTGGATTTGATTGGGAAAGCTCACACGGGAAGAAAAAGTGGTTTTGACGGTGTTTTTTTTTCACGTCAATAAACTCATATTTTTGTTTTCTAAATTCACACTGATTGCGCTCTCTGATCCCGAGTCACTCTTCAGCACGCTGCTCTCGCCCCCCAGGCCGCTGCGCCGCGCTGCGCACTTCGCGCCCCGCCGCGCGTCCGCGGGTCCGCAGGTGGCACCCTTTCGCCGTGCTAGAGCATCGCGCGGCTGCCAATGTTTCTGTGGGGGTGTGTGTTGGGTGTGAAAGCGCGCCCGTGTGCGAGTGGGGCTAGTCGGTGGGGGCCTCCCCCTGGCCCCTCCCCCACGCCCCAACGCCGACCTGAGCGCCAGCCAGCCACCATCAACATATGAGCCGCGGCGCTAAGCGATCGCCGCCGCCGTCACAAAAGAGGTTTGGTTCTTCTCTTTTACTGCAGCCTCGCGCCCACATCCGCGGCCAAAATTACCGGTTTCACGAGGAGTCGGGTGTCAGGCGCGGGCCCGAGGGGGTGGCGGGTGGTGGACAAGTAGTACTTAGTGCTTTGGGGACCAGGGGGAGCCCGCGGCGGCCAGCCAGAGCTCGCCAAGCTCGGGCTCCTCGGCGGCGCCGGTGTGGCGGCGCGGCCATCGCGCGAGGTTCGACATAGAGGATTTCCCCGATTTACCAGCAAACAGGCATCAGGCGCGGCGGCTGCACGCCGACCTGGCGCCCGTCCAAGGCGCCTCCGCACTCCGCGCCCTCGCCGCCGCCACCCTGCCGGGGTTGCCGTGAAAACACACCTTGCGAGCAATGCCTTTGTGTGCCTTTGTCACCCTCGGCATAAGGCGCCCGCCCCGACCAACCCCGTTGAACGGCTGGCCGAACACTCCAGCGAAAGCACGATTCTGTCGCGTCTCGGCCCCCGTCGTCGTCGTCCGGTCGGCAGCGTCTACAGGAAGTGCAGGTTCAAAGTCCTCACCTACCTACGGAAGGGGTGCGGCGCTCGTCGCTCGGCTCGGCCTCTGGAGCCCTCGCCTCAGCATATCACTGGCGCAGCTGCGCACCCACCACTCGCGCCGCGTGCCCGTGCGCCTCGACAACAAGGAACGGACGGAGCTCGCCGACGGCGCGGGGACGACGGCGAGGGAGCGACTACGGCTACGGCTTCGCGCCCCGCGGCCTGCCTCAGGCCTGCCACTCCCAGCCGGCGGTGGTGGCGCGCTCCGCCCATGAGTGCGAGAGAGAGAGCGAGGGGGAGGGCAGCAGGGGCAGGGAATGGCGTGTCTTACCAGCCGACAGGAATAGCGCCGGGCTGACTTGCACCGCCGTGCCGCGCCGGCCCGCTCGCCAGACATCCGCGGGCGCAGTGTTCCGCCGCAGTCCTGAGTCGTTGGTCCAGGCGCCCGGCTCACGGGCAACCCCTCGCACACGCACCGCACCCTTTGCCTACCTCACAGGCTGAACCGGAGACTGTCCGGTCCTTCTTGCGGCAACATATCGCCGCTCTGATCAAATACCCAGCACGTTCTACCACTCCAAACATTCGTCAGACACCAATTTGCATACATTTGTGAGACAGAGATCAGAGTTATGTGTTTCAGATCATGATGTTTCCCATCAGATCAAATTAAAGTCTGGGCCAAATGATGACAGCAAGATCGAAATTCTTTCTTTTAATGATCCAAATGCCTTGATCAA